CAAGATTAAAATAAGTTTTGTTTATGAAAGGTATTTAGAAACAGAAGTTGTTAAAACGTCCACTCTTCAGACAAATAAAAAGATATTTCATCTGGTTCAAATGCAACTTTTCAGTTCAAAGAAAGCATCTACCTCCTCCCTCCAATATCATTTCTGTAAAATTACAACAAAAGCCAGCACATTTCCTGAAACATTGATAGAAGGAAATACAATTGCCAAGTTTATATTGATACTGCAAGAACAACCCCCCACAAAAAGGGTGGGAACCTGCATAAATGCTCTGAAACCAAAATAGCACATTACTACGCAGCATTGGCAGCGTCGGAGCCAAGGCAAGCCAGAGTTTGGTGACCTATCGATCGACTGACGTGCAAGAACTAAGTTGACCACTGTATTTACGTTATTTGCGCATTATTACGTTATTTGCGCGCATAATTTCCGAGCCCACAGAGATCACGCCAATGCGCTCCTGCATAGTCGCTGCTCCCATACTCTGTTTCATGACAATACGGCGAGCTGTGGAGGCTGCAGACGCGGCAACCCAATAAGAGCGCCAAAGCAAAGCATGTGATAATACGGCATGGTCGAGGCCACGGGGGCCTTGTTACCACCATAGCAACAACGCCGTCCGCGATAAGAAGTAATTTTAGGCTTCTTTTTCTTCGAACGGCAATTGAACTCGCACGCTTCAATATCTAACGAGAAGATACGACGAGAAAGAGTAAATAACCACGAATTTATGAGTTTCAATTATATTTAAACCAAAAAAGATCGAGGGGGCCTAAGCGCTTCTTACGAGTTGTGACTGCAAAAGCATGCCGCCTGCGATATTTCCGCCTCGCGTTGTTGAAGGGCCTCGTCCTCTAGCTGCCTGAGATGCTTTGAATCGCAATCCCGCTTGCGCCTAACGCTTTTGAAAGGCTTTGTTCTGTTTCCTAGAGCGTTGTGCCGCTGCTTGTTCCGCCCGCTGTGTATTCAAAGACTTGAAAACGATGGAGGATTTCGCTGCCTGCCTCCTCGCTCGTTGTGCTGCGTCATTCCGTTCTCTGAGTTTGTCTGCGGCGTACTTGCGTGGACGGGCAGGCTTCGCTACTGCCGAGGTTGCAGCCGCTGATGATGTAGTAGATGCTTGAGGCACCGCCATGTTCGTCGGCGTCGAGAAGAGCAGATGCGACTGAGCGCACGTCACCATATTTCTTTTATTAGCGCTGCCAGCGCGGCGCTTGCAGCGCCAGGGGGTGGCATTCCTTAAAACTATGACGCGCATCAGCCAATGGGAGCCTCGTTCCTTGAAACTATGACATGCGCCAGCCAATGGGAGCCTAGCCATCAAATCGCTGCCACCAGACTACAGGCTTCACTCTATTTGGACGAACGAATTTAGGTGCCATTTGGCGCGCGGCTCAAAAGCTGATAACGCTGGTTCGCTCCATGGGACCCATTTTATGCTTTCACATTAAAAATGACGTCACATCTGTTTCTGCTCCCGATTTATTTTTCTCCTTGTAGTGTTATGGCTAACATTCCCAACTGAGTTTGTCAACACTCAGTTGGGAAACTCAACCTTGAAACTTAGACTGTTCGCGACCACCGAGACCAAATTAAATATGATAACGGTGCCACCCTTTAGTGACTAGTCAAAACATGAAAGTTCATTTATATTGCTACTGCGAAATTGCACTGCGAGATGGCACCACTGGCCCTTGCGCAACTCGACCTGAACCGATACGGGGAAACGTGCACTTCCTGGAGTGATCGCTGCGGGAGAGATGGCGGCATTGCGATCGCCATTAGTTCAATTCTCGAGTATGGATCGAAGCCACTTTTTCAAAGCAGGCTGTAGAGCAGTTTCCCAACTGAGTTGCTCTAGTAACGTTGGCCATGGCCGTTGGAGATTGCCGGCAATCGCAGCCGTGTAATCAGTTGTTTCCTCAAAACATTGCACTGTGCCTTGGCATTAACACCCGTCGCAGATTCGCAGCTAAATTGAGCGCATGGTTGTCTTCATGAACTGTTCCCGAAATGCTCGCTATTCTAGCAGACGGAAATGTTGCTGCAGTAGACGTTCATCCCAAGTTTGTTGGTTTCAGAGCAGACGACTCCTGACTAGCAGACAACAGCCGGCTCCTCCAGGCCTCGCATTTGGCGTGGTGACACAAACGCTCTCGTGACGTCGGGTCATGTGCCTCGCTCCAAAGCTCTCATTGGGTTGCGGGGCCCAAGCCTCCACAGTTCGGCAAGTTATCGTGAAACGGAGTATAGCATGCTGGTGCAAAGCACTGGCTTGACGCGAGTGGCACAGCAAAGCTGTGAAAATTGATGGAAGCAGCACGGCGTGAGTCCTACAAAAACAACGACACTCGCACATACTACTGGCTTGATTTAACCGGTCTGCTTACTTTAAGAGTAAGTCGAAGGAAAGCACATTATTTTACGTTATAATTGAAATGCGTGCGGGACCGCGCACACTTTTATATAAAAGCCTTTTTCTCTTTTTTCTGCTTTGCTCAAGCTCATCTTTGCTCAAGTGTGGCTCAATTCTTCGCAAAACATGGTATTTTGGCGAGACATGTAGCAGGCTTGTGTTTATACAGTCGAGCCCGGTTATATCACACCCGGGTATTTCGAATTATTGTTTATATCGAACAGTCCAAACATCCATCAATATAGGAGGAACCAATAGTATAGGAGGAGCATAGGTGTAGTATAGGAGCATATGCGCAGAAAATACTACGCAACAAAAAAGCAACTAAGAAAATGACAAGTGGAGGATGGCGTTTACCTTTTTTTTCCCCCGTTTTTGTTCTGCCCATTTTTTTCTTTTCTTTGCCTTTCTTCTTTTGCTGCCTGAATTTAGCAAGGTTTCTTTTTTTTTGCTTGTTTAACTTTATTCTATGAATCAAGTTTGTTTTGCTTTTTAACGAGTTTTTCGTTTTTTCATTTTCTTTATTTTTTTTGTGTTTGGCGTGGAGGTTGCGGCCTGTCGTAAACGCCGCTGTGTTTGTGATCTTCATCAACTAAGCTCTACTGTATATAGCGGCTCTTAGACGCTCTATTTGGTAATGTCCCGTTTGTCACGGCCTTCGCAGAGATGCACGGAAATTTAAACTGGAGCTTAAGTTAGCATACTTTTGTATATGAAATTATTGATATATCAAACTATTTTTTGATCCCCTTGGAATTCAATATATCTGGGTTTAACTGTAGTGCAGTTTGGTGCAAATGAAGCAGTATTTCCATTGCTGCTATTTGTTGATTCTTACACATTTCTTTTGAAGCACTGTCATCTTTGGCACTTGAAATGCACCGAACATATCGACGATAGATCCAACGATAGTGAAATCTGTACCCCCCCAGAGACAATTTGTCTGAAACTTCTTCCGTGTCGGCGATCCCGAGAAGCTTCATCATCTTTCAATTTGTCAAATAGTCCAAATGTGGGACCTCAACTTTGCATTCCATTCCTAGTTCGGAACACAGCTCTCAAAAACTGGCAGGCACGCCAACGAAGCATGAAGGACTGTCTCAGCTCATTGTTTATGATAGTATATGTACCATAAAATTCCGTAATGGCGCCCGCCTGCTTGTAGCGTTGGCCCGCCGGCGCTACGGGCGGCGCCCTTCGTCGTCGTCTGTAGCGTTGGCCCACCGGCGCCCTTTACATCGCTGGTTCTGTTCTCGGCGGCGGCTTTACAGGTGAGCGATGTGCTCTTTGACAAGGGAATCTGAAGTGCTGGACGCAGTGGAAGTTGAGGCAACAGCGGCTTTGCGGCCGTTGCGGACCCATTCGCGCTGCTGCATAACTCGCCGCTCCTTCCGGAGCCCGTCTCTTTTCCTCGAAAGGGCGCGCGGCCGACCCATCGTGAGTCCAAACCGAAACTGATAAGAGCGTAGGAGCGTAGGAAACAGCGTGCAAAACAGACGAGAACGAAGAAACAAACGTGACGAGCGCTGCGCTCGTTACGTGTGCTTCTTCTTCGTCGTCGTCTGTTTTTCGCGCTGTTTCCTACGATGAATTCCCACCAACGCGCCCAACTATCAATTCTTCTACGATAGCTGGAAAGCTGGCGCCATCTACGAGCGACGGCGGAAACCAGACTGGTTGTGTGCTTGCCGCCGTCACTTACAGATGGCGGTAGCTGTCCAGGTAGGTTTCTGTCGACATACCGGACACAATCTTGCAAAACCTTTCAACAGCTTTGCTGTAAAATTCCAGAACATCACCCACACCCCCGATTCCTGTTGGACGTCACACTATGTCCGACGGGAATTGCATCAACCGTGGGATCTGTGGTACTTGTACGTCTGACAAGCGAGTTCATAACATTTTCCGATTCCCGCGTTTCTGTTTGCAAACTGCACACGCGATATTGATTCCCGTAACACGTGAGTTGTTCTCGCGTGTATATCGCATCACAAAAATGCGATTCTCCTGCATCTGCGATCTGCAGCATTTGTTCCCATGATATGCGAGTTTGTAGCGGATTCCCACGTTTTTGTCCGCTATCTGCACACGATATCGGTTCCCGTGACAGACAAGTTTGTATCGGGTTCCCACGTGCTTATTGCACCATAAAACTTAAATCTGCCGCATCCGCAACTTGCAGTATCCTTTCCCGCGAAACAGGAGTTCGAAGCGAATTCCCAAGTATTTATCGCATCATGAAACGCGAATTCACCATGACCACGATCTACGGTATCAGTTCCTACACATGTGATTTGTAGAGAGTGCCCCGGTGTTTATCATTAATTTTTTTATCAAGGTTTGCTGTCGCATCCCCAAAGATAGCCCACCCGATGTTTTTCACCATTTATCTCTTCATATTGGGTAGGCATTCTTATGGGATTTTATGGTATATTTGTGCACCCCTAATATAAAAAAGGGATGGAAACAAGATGACTGGTGCAGCACATTTACAAGGTGTTTCAGACAGTGTGCAAGAGCAAATGGGACACATACAAACTTAAACATAACGTAAAAAAAAAAAAGGGGCACTCACGTGAGCCTGCCAAGTTTGACAGCTGGTTCTGATGGCAGGTCAAACTTAGGCAGAACGAAGTTCCACAGCTCGCACTTCTCGCACATGGCGATTGCTCGGTGCATGAGCCGGAGAGGCAGCCGGTTGTAAGTGAAACGCACGTCGAATTTCATGCCCTTGACGTATTCCTTCAGAAACCTGGCCCCAAAAGGAAGGAAAAAGATTAGTTCCCTCGTTCATTCATCGTGTGGCAAAGATCTCCCAAGACGACGATAATGCGCAAGAGATGAGGTCACTCAATACGAATTTTTTACCCTTCCATTCTTATTAAAATATTCACTATCACACTTGAGCATATTTGCTGTCCAACTTTATCCCCAACTCCCAACTTTATGAGAAAGAAAAAGAAACAAAATGTCTGGTTAATTTATTTTAAAGCGTGTTTTGAATTATTCAAAATATATTAAGTTATAAAACTTCAAATAAACCTTGTAACAAAACAATTGAAGAGCAAAACTATGTGTGGTTGTGTGTGTGGTTGAACCTGAGTACAGCATGAGACATTAAATCCTGCAAGTTTTTTTTTGCCACTTAGGCTAAACTTAGAATGAAAGTGGAGTGTGGGGAAATCTGGCTGCCCTCCCTTGTGCCAACCCTCCGGGCCCCAAATTCCGGCAACTCGAACCCAATGCCTCCAAGATGAGTCATGCCTCGGGGGGGCGGCGATGCCTTCGCGCACCACAAGATCCGGCTACATTGCTCCCCTAAGCCAACTGACGTCATGTGACTGGCTTCCCAGAACAAAGGGGCGAAGGCTTGAAAAGGGGACGCGGGACAAAGAGGAGTCTCTCTCGGATGGCGGCTCTCTCGAACGGCGGACAGCAACGAGCGTGCAGCGGTGACAGGAGAGGAAGACACTGGCGCGGGGATCGACGGGAGACAAACGCTGGCACGGGGAGTGCAGGCACGTGGTCGAGCGGCGGACTCGATGAACGCGCCAGACAGCGACCTTCGACGACGACGTTCCCATGATGCGCTGTGGACGACTACCGCTGGGACTTGCAGCAGCTGCAGTGGTAGCAGAGTTTCCCCCGGCCTCACTGATGACCGTTCCCTGATCCCGAACCCCCCCCCCCCCCCCCCAGGCAATAAGTGAGTGAATAAACCCTTTTGCCAAGAGTGAAGTATTGCCACGTCATGTTCATCCGGAGACAGGGTCCGATGGAATCGGAGCTAGAAGCCCGCAGTGTACAATGCAACAGAAGTTCCTGGTAAAAATATGACTGCTAATTAAAGCCAGTACTAGTACTAAGGACCCCCAGCCTGGCCTATACAAAAGCTTTGTATATCCTTCTTTGGCCCTGTCATGAGAGTATGTCTCATGACTTTTGTCACTAACTAGGGTGACCAGACGTCCCGTTTTGGCCGGGACAGTCCCGTTTTTGAGGTCCGCTTCTGCCGTCCCGTTTTTTTGTCCCAATAATGGATCATGTCCCGTTTTCGCAGCAGTGCGTAGTTTCGAAATTGGGACTAAGCCAGTTGAAGCAAGCCAAAAATATTCCTAGTCGTTACAAGTATATTTTACAAAAAAAAAAAAAAAAAGACTTAGGTACTTTAAAATATTTACCCAGAGAGTAAAATTTAGAAATATTCTTGCCTACAAACAGCTTTTCTTTCGCAAAGACACGAGTGTTGAATTTTTTTTTTCGTACCGAATATAGCACGCATGTAGGATCACGGTTGACAACACTACACTATTTTTCGAAAATGGCGAAGAAACGCTCGTGTGTTCACCGATGAACCCTTGTCAATAAAAGCATTCAAAAGAAACTAGAAGATTGGAAATCTTCAGGTATTACAGTCTGTGAGAGATCGGTGCAAGTCTTCAAAGAGGTGAAAACAGAGAATGTACGCTGAGCCGAGATTTCCCGGGTCGTGGAACTGGCTCTGTGCTTCCTTGGAACCACAGCTCCAGTGGAGCGCGTCTTTACAATTATGAACTCCATGTGAACAGGCGAGAAGTCTCGCCTTCTTGTATCAACCTTCTGAGCAGTGCTACTTGTGCGGTTGAACTTCCCATATAAATGCGCAGACTTTACAACCGAGTCTTGCAGGATGAAGTCCTGCTTAGAAAACCTTAGCCGTCGGCAAAATACGCCCAGGCCATGGAAGGACACGAAGCAGGACCTTCCAAATGAATGCATGCAACTGCACTCCGGGTGTGACTGTTTCCTAGGGCATAGTGCTATATGGTCACGTTTTGAAATAAGAGTCGCTATTTCATTAAACGTTTCCTCTTAAATTTAGTTTTTAGTATGCCCCCCCCCCCCCCCCCCCCCCCCCTTTTCACCGCCACCGCTGGGATGTCCCGTTCTCTACCTTGAGGAATATGGTCACCCCACAGCCCTCACCTCACCTGCATATCCCTTCAAATGCAGGTACTGTTCATGGGTAGCAAAAAAAAAGATCCATTGGTGGAGCCTTAGGGAATGCGTTAGCATGTCCCTAGGGAAACGCCACACACGTCTCCCTTTGGGAAATGCTAACGCTGACCCCTTCACTTTTCTCTTTTGCTTCCTCTTTTTGTCTTTGTTATGGGGGCAGTGTTAGCGTTTCCCAAAGGGGGACGTGCGCTGGATTTCTCGAGGGTCATGCTAATGCACCTTCTAAGGACCCATCAATGATCCAGTGGTGTCACAAGGGGGAGGGGGAGGGGGGGGGGGGGCGGGGGGGGTGGACCACCCCGGGTGCAGCGTTCAGGGAGGTGTTGCAGCAGGCTATGAGAGCGGGGGGGGGGGGGGGGGGGGGGGGTCGTTGCGGCGGCCGCCCCGGGTGCCGCTGGCCCTTGTGACGCCACTGAATGGATCCTCCTTTAATTTTTTATGGCAAAGCAGGCCCGCCGAGCCCACTTTGCCCTAGCCTCTGTCGCATGCAGACCCGCATCGGCTTGCCGCTTTTTGGACAGCATTTCGGCCAGCCGAGCTAGGCGCTGCTTCTGCTCCTGTCTCGTTCACCCGCCGTGCGCACAAAGCAGCGATATCCGCTGCCTGAGGTTGCCTTCGCTGTTTACCGGTTTCCCATGCGCGCATTGGCTTCCGCCCCGTGATGTTGCCTCCCTCCCATCCCTGTATTCTACTCTCTCCTCTTCTCTATGCGGTGCGCTTCCCTTTCCACTGTTTTGTCCAGACAGACTGCATAGCTTTTCCTTGTCATGTGGGTACTAATGCTCACGCATTAATGATATTCGCTGTGTGGTTGTCATCACTTGGCACATCAGAAAGTTGAGCAAAGAATATTGGCACTACGGTGGCCTCCACTTTTCCCTGTTCCACACTTACCGCTTGCTGAAACTGGCCCAGACAGCTCCGGTTTTCGTTTCCCGCACAATCCCTTCATACTCCAGGACCTCCAGCATGTCGCATGTAGACAGACGAGCGTAAAGTCTGTCTCCCTTGAGCAGTGCTGGACGCCCCTCCACTAGTCCCGGGACCTAGTAGCAATAATAATAAAACTTCATGAATTTTATTTCATACAAGATAAATCAGTTAGGAAAGGGGAAAGATTAACATATTTTGAAGGGAAGCGCTACAAAAAAAGGAAGGACTAGAGCATCGGATCTTAAACCGGCATTCCTAAGATGGTGGTGGCTTCCTGGAGTATCCTCAAGCAATTACTAAGGAATTATATAGTAATAGCTCGTGTCTATAGCACTTTGTGGACTAAGGTTTTCATAAAGTAACTATTGAATAGATAAAAATTTATTTTGATCTATTCCTTCGCTAAAAACACAAATATACAGTAGAACCTTGATTATGCATCCTCGGTTTATGTGACATCTAGCATTTCAAGACGAATTTGCCCGGTCCCGACAAACTCCCCGCAGAAATAATGTATTAAAAGTTTGGTTTACACGACGCATGACTCTGCGCATTTTGAGTCGTATCACGTTCCGGCGGGAAACGCGCAACAAATTCAACGGAAGGGGGGGCAGCGGCGCAGCAAAGCAGAAGAGTTCTGCGTGCCTGCGCGCCATTTCAGAGAGTACAAACACGGCGCCAGGAACCCGAGACAGCCTCAGCGCCGGGAGGCAGTGGAAGACAGTGCTTTCCCTTCTCCTTTTTGGGTTGTAAAATGCCTCGGCATTTTCACATTGTGTCCTTGCTCCGCTCATCCCATCGTTCTCTCGTCTCTCGTTCACCCTCGCTCGCCCTTGCTCTTCTCTGCGCGCCTCTCGTTGCTTCTCCCTGGATTGAGCACACTTCTGCTGATTCCCGCCGTTCCCGCTTTCGGAAAGCGTGCAAAGCGACAAGGATCCGGCGAATAATGTCTCGCAGACAAACAATGTCTCGCATTCGACAGTTTGTTTGCAGCTACGACGGCATCGCTGATGCTTCCAGAGCTTGCGGCTTTCGAAAGGAAGCCGATGTTGCGCCACCGAAAGAAAGTCCAGCAGGAAATTACTGATTTCTTTTGAGGAAAAATTAAGTTACTTGCGCCTTTACCAGACAATTATACGGTTTTGCTTTTATTTGTTTCGACGGTTTTTGCTTCTTCAAAGTACAGCAGATTTACTTATTTATTTTATATTTTATTTTCATACTCTCAAGGCCCGGAGGCTCTACAGAGAGGAGTGGGTGATCCAGATGAAATCGTTGGCAAATTATTAGCTTAGACATTATTTAAAACCTTCTGTTTGTCTTTTTTGCGCGAAGCCGATCACTGGATTTATAGGCATAGACTACAGGTAGAGCACCCCCGCCCCCTTCCCGGGCCATGATCCTTACCGAGACGCTGTTTACGCGCCGTGTAACGAGCTTCTAGTAGTGGCATTTAAGCAAAATAACGCCCATGTTGCCTTTATTGCCAAAATACATGGGAACTGGAATCCCAGCATGCTCTTGTTAGCTTCAATCTCCAGTTCTGGCGAGAAGGTAATGCGGCATCGATCGTTTTTACGTCCGCTTGGTCTGCTTCCACAGCAGCCTGCCATTTTGCAATGTCCCACGAGAAAAAAAAAAAAAAATAAAACAACTGGAAGTACCTACTCCATCCGGAGCTGTTACTAAAGTCCGTTTAGTAGCGACTCCGACAGAGTTACCCCAAACCAGAGTCGTGGAGTCACAACTTTACGCGCCCAATGGAGCGATAGATCAGGGGTGGCCAGGCTGACCCATCCTAAGAGCCGCAAACAAAACCACGAAACTTCCAAGAGCCGCGGGGGGGCAGGGGGGGGGGGGAACACAATTTTTGTACAGAGCAATAAATGAAACTCAATCTACTTTCAATCTATCCGAGTCAAAAGCAGTCCAACTGTACTAAAAGTAGCAGCAGCACGGGACTACCAACAAACGTTCCCTATTTCTCTGTCTGGGGAAGCGCCCGTGTGACCGAAAGGAAGGCGGGGGAGTAGGGGGGGGTGTATTGGAGGTAGCCACGAGCTGCACTTTAACACGCGAAGAGCCGTATGCGGCTCGCGAGCCGCAGCTTGGCCACTCCGGCGATAGATGATGCAGTCGTCCGCAAAGAGCCTCATGCGTGAGAAAATATTAGTTGGCAAGTGGTTAATAAAAATTAGAAAAAGTAATGGACCAAGAGCACTGCTACACAAGCATTTTATTTTTCAGATTTGTGCTCCCCGGCGCATGCGCCGCGGTACCGGCGATGAACACACGGCTACGCTTGCACGGTGATTGACATTGACACACAGCGACGGAAACATGGCGATATACATACGCTGTAAAATGTGCCCCCTAAAATAAACTACTGATAATTGCCGGTGTAAACAAAATTGTGCGGAAAAGCACCCCCCCACCCCGGAGAACTTTTCAGCCTCCCCCCTTCTGGGAAAATGGAAAGTCTATGCCGCTGACTGTACCTGTACTAATTATTGCTTTTTCAGATGATACAACAATTTTGCGCGGTCCCGCAAACGTCATATAATCGGGGTTCCACTGTATTAAAAAAACGCAAACGGGAACAGAGAATGGTGATCACTTTGCTATAGCCACTATTTCGTTATAAGCGGGCACAACAATATCTATCTGTGAAGCAGCAAGAAAAAAAATTCTGTGGTGGGAGAAAGTTAATTTAGCTGTAAGTCTGAAAAGATTGCAACCACAGTATGGGGAGCAAACAATGTCACGGACAAGAGTGTGCAAATAAGGTCAAAAGTTTCACCAAGGATGGCAGCTGGTGAAGAATGAACCGCACAGACACATTTGTTCAACTGCAATCATGCAGCTCACTTCTTCCAACGCCAAAAATATCACAAGCTGTCAAAACAATGGCAGCCGTGCCTAGATGTGCACGGGAATACTCAAAAAGATTGGCATAGTCTTGTGCAGGTCAGATTTTCCATTTCCTTCGCAGAAATGAGAGTCCCCTGTCAGCCTCAAACAACCCTCATACTCTCAGCAGTGTCCTACCACCAGGTTTGTGGCCAGCGAATAAATGTGCCAGTAGCAATGTCGGAAAGGAGAAGTATAAAAACCCAACTATAACGCTGGATAAACACTCCAATCAGAGATGCATTCCAGGAGCTTTGACAAAGAAACATGGAGGGAGGGTAGCTAACAATGATGATGGTAACTGCTCCCGAAGCGGGGCATTTGCCATCTTGCAGGCTACACTCAAAGGGACCTTCTCCATAACAAGTGTGTCACAAGAAAGCCGATCCATCGGTGCTGCAACGTTGGAACGCTCGTGCAAAAGGAGGAGGTGCACATACCTCCAGAACAAACCAGTCCGTTTGAGTGGGGCAGGGCCTGAGGGGGACGGCCTTCATGTCGTACTTGCGAATGTCCGTGAACATCTGTATCTCCTCCAGGAAGAGCAATGTGGAGAAGTAGCCCCAGTATGTGGACTCTGACAAGGGGTCGTCCAGGTGCTTCCTGCATGCCGCGGGGAGAGAGACATCGAGCCGTGGGTCCCGCCCTGGTTCGCCGAGCAGGAAAGTGAGCTGTGCGCTTGCTTGTACGTTGAATCTCGTTAATTCAAACTCGAGGGGGACCGAAAATTTGTTTGAATAAAGCAGAGTTTGAATTACCGGGTGTTTCCTCCTATAGAGACGCATAGGATGGAACATACATGTTAGTTTGAATTATTTAGAAGTTTGAATTAAGAGACTTCGAACTAACGAGATTTAACTGTATGAGAAAATTACTGGTTTGTAAGTGTTGTTTATTTCCCTTTTTTTTTTTTTTTTCATTGTGACATCGCTGTCAGATTCATGTTGATGTTGTTTTGCCGACTAACTGTTTTGGATGTTAATCACTTAACAGTTATCGAAGTGTTTCGTTTGCAGCACGTTTTCGCTTCCATTTTGGTGCACAGCCAACCACCGAAGTAGCATTACATTTCTTTGTTTGGTTTATCCACTTATGTTGTCGCCCGCCTACCCGACTTTACACCCAGCGTGACATTACCGCCTGTTCACAAACCCAACCTAGTTCTGTTCTTTTGGGTTATTTTTAAATTAAAATAATTTATAGGCAAATTTTTTGCACTCTAATGTCTCTTGGAAGTAGCCTAAATGGGGGATAGAGATGAGCTCTAGTGAAAGGGAAACGTCTCTCTAAATTTAACAGATGGTGTACATATAATGTCATCAGCATGATGGTCGTCACATGGCACCATGGTGTGACATCACGTAACCCAACATAAGGTCAAGTGACCTCACGTTTTCATGTGACACCGTGGCGTGACATTATGTGACCTAACATAAGGTCAAGTGACCACATGCTTTTCTGATGGTCATGTGACACTGCGATGCCATGTGAAACAAGAACATTGTAGAGGACTTATAAATGCAACGCATGTAGATTGTCTTTAGCAATATACAAAGAAAACGGCAGTTTTGCTTGTCTACCGACCAAGCCGGTTTTTTTTTTTTTTTTTTTTTTCTCTTAGTTATTTCCACGCACTTCGTGACAACAGCCCCATGTCATTTGTTTCACGCAGCAGGGAGTGTTAACGGAAGAAAAAAATATTGAACACTCTGAAAAAGTTAGTCAGACATATAGAACAATGTCACGGACGTACAACAACAAATGAAAGCCTTACTGGATGAATATTAGAAGCTTTGCATGGTCTTCTTCCATCTCGTCCCAATGCTTCATGTTGTGTTGCTGGAGCAGCACCAGCTCCTTCGGAAGCTCGTAATGCTGGAGAGGCAGGTTTCGCTCCAGTTCTTGAGGGGTGGCGCTAAAGGAGACCCCCCATTCACCATCAGGCCCCAACCACACTGCTGGCTTTTCACCTTGTGAGTCTAGTGTTGCAAGCTCTGAATAACTTGATGTTTAAGGAAAAATATCCCAAGTTTCACATGGTAGCCCCAACACAAGGAAAAATACAGCCAGTGAAGAGGAACTGGCACAAATCTGGTCTCTTTAAAATATTTTTTCGGTTCTATCCTCTCATTTATTTTATATATTAAAGTTTTTCATTGCAAAACATTCATAAGGAAAGGTAATTTAACTTGTGGTTTCCCCCTGAACAAAGATCATTTCTAAAAAGATGGTAGAAAATGGGACTGTGGACTATAAGAAGATTTTACCTTCATTTTTGTAGAAGATTAAATGGTACCAAAAAGGTATGTGAATAATAAGGATAGTTTGCTTCAACTGTTCTAACTCATCAAGCTGGACTCGGGTATCAGTTAGCATAACATTGATGTGTCCATGCACCTCGACATTTGGTGCACCTCATACTAATCATTGTAATAAGAGTTACTAATGATGCCACCACAACAACAACTGAAAACAGGGTTGTCTTCTGGTGCCTTCCATTTCATCCTTAAAACTCAAGAACTGTTCTCAGTGACATATTTACTAACAGAACCTTAAAATGTTTCATGGCAGAATCTGCAGAAGCTCTCAATTGACATGGTTAAGGGCCTTGTCATGGTACATAGAAAATGTGGAAAATCAAACCAAAACATAAAACCTTTCTTTTTTTTGAGTATGGTAGACTTTTCAAACGAACTTATTTTTTGCAAATAAATTCACTAATATGATCGAAGGTCCCTTCAGCACAAGATTTGTGCTGAACTGAACAGTTGTTGCTGTTATCACAAATCGGTGACTTCAATCCTAGCATGAAGTCAAGAACTGCTAGATTCTAAGCAAGACATACCCTGCTAACAAATCCCTAACAGGAAACATTAGCCCTTTCACCGGCAAAGATGAGCCTGGCCCATCTGGCAATGCGAAGTGCTTCTCGTAATCTGCAAGCACAAGATTGTAGCTTCCTGTGGTTTGTGCCACCTTCAACTGATACAAGCCACATTATTAGCATGAATGCACGCTGCACGATAAAAAAAACCTATCAGAACTAGAAATTAAACTCGAGGCAATAATAAATAGTGGTTCCAAAGAAAGAGTGCAGCGTCATTCAAATCTTTACACTGCAAAGACAGCCGGTACGCCATGGTATGCCCTCACATTTCGGAAGTTATAAATAATGCAGCGCTATTTGAATCAAACCACTATTTGCACAAGCCTACAAGGAATGTGTGCCCGTAGCCTTGGTTTCACTACAACAGCTTTAAAATGTAAACAAGCTCCCCAAAGGCGTTTTTTTTTTTTGTGTCAAAATAGGATGCACGTATGTTAAAAAATAAATCTTACCCCTAAAAGAAAGAAATTTAGATCAACCACAAAATGGAAACACGAGTCTCATAACCTAAATCTGGGGGGGCGGGGGGAGGGGGGTGGGAACGGGGTTTACGTGTCCTATTGAGGTACTTAAAAAAAAATGTTTAGAAGTTCAGCGTTTTTATGTGAAATAAAGTACCCCTCATAATACAAGCAAAATCAGGGTGAAATCACCTATCAGAGCCATCAGCCAGAATCAAGTGCTTTGCTTATGTGATAAACAGAAAATGCCAAACTATTCTCTGTTGCAGATTAAGAGAAGCGGGACAAGCTCTTCCTGCGAAGCCTTCCACTCTTTCCCCTTTGGCAGAGCAAACGCCGGAGAGGAAACGAGACAAGCCGAGGAGGGACTTGCCTGCTCTCCAGCATTTGCTCTCCTAAAACCAAGAGAGAGGAGGGCTTTGCGGGAGGTGCTTGTCCCGCATTTCCTAACCTGCAACAGAGCACAGGAACCTGTGCAACAATGAATGAGTTAAAAGCGGCAAACCGGTTGCTTTCTGTTCCTACTTTGTGACCTTGTCGGCCCTGATGATGCGATCGGCGTCCTCCAGCATGGGCAGGGGTGGCACGAAGTAGTAGGGCTCCAGGGGCTCCAGGTCGTCCCCACCATCCTCGTAGCAGGTCACCTCCAGGTAGCGTACGATGGTGAAGAGCCGCCCCTCGGCACCGCCCTCCTGAAACTTGAAGGCCAGGGGCACCCGGAACTTGCCCGGCTCTGGCGACTGGCAGCGCAGGGTGATGCAGTAGCACGACCCGGCAGGGATTGTCACCTTGGGAGGGAGGGACACTGGGGCTCGACAACGATCGCAATTTCACTTTTATTAAATGAATGTGTAGCATTTATAGGGCTAGCCTCCGAGATTTTGTGCTTGCAGCATGTAGCCTCGAGTAATGTCATGCGACGTTGTGGCGTCGCATGAAACTATGACGTCGCGTCACATCATGACCTTATGCGTCACAATGATGTCAAGTGTAATTGTGATGTCAGATATAACCGTGATGTCAGGTGTGACCGTGATGTTGCGTGTCACCATGCCCCATGACGCCACGTGTCACCATGATTTCACGTGTCACCGTGATTTCATGTCACCATGATGTCACATGTCACCGTGATATCACGCGTCACCATGATGTTGCTTGTCACCGTGATATTGTGTGTCACCATGTCATCTGACTCCAAGATTTCACGTGACACTGTGATGTTGCATGACACTAGGGCATCACGTGGTAAAATGACGTTACGCAAGACGATGACGTCACAGTGACGTCACGTCACACCTTGATGTCACGCGACACTACAACGTCTTAGGACGTCTTGTGCCACTGTGGCGATTTTATATATTCGCAAAACCCTCATCATGTTCCTTTCAGTGGCATCCTTATGCCTACAACAAGGAGAGTTAGGAGATTTTATAAATGATATGCACTTAGAATACCTTTTGGAAATGCCCAAGAGAGTCAATTTCTTACTCACTACACACGCTGGCAACTACGGCCTCAGGGAGCCACCATCTTGCTCGCTTTGGGTGTGCGTGTATGATCACTGACCTTCTGGAGCATTAAATTGCTGGCATGCCCTACTGCTTCCAAATCGCAGTGAGTGTACTGTTGTTCTTCACTTTCTTTAGTTCGAACTTTCGTTAATTCGAACTGAGGCGGCTTCCCCTTGCGGTTCGAATTAACAAGCTTTTACTGTATTCAATAACCACGAGCACCTACATAAAGCTCTGCAGTAAAAATGCTGGCAACAGAGTCAAGCCGTCGAGCTTTCGCAAAGTGTTCTGAATATACAGCCGAACCAACAAAGCGTGTAGTTTTTGTGCCATCAGTGAAGAATCGTGCGTAGTCCTTAAACTTAGCTTGCAAGGTCATAAACTCTTGCTAAAGAACTAGTGGCGTAACAGATCGCTTATTGTATTTTGCCAGCGACCAGTCACAGGTATAGTGCACCGCCTTCCAAGGAGCAATGCTTCAAACTCTCGTCATCAAGCTACGCTCAGGAAGCGCAAGCTGCAGGGATGCAGACATGCTTTGAATGCGGAGGCTTAAAGGCCTTAGTATCCTTGGCTTGTTCTCAGAAACACGTAAAAAAGGAGACGCCTGTAAACAGCGGAAGGATGGGTGTTCAGGGTCAGATGTGACCTTATAACTATAGCATAGGCTGAGCAACTGTCTTCGTTTTTCTAGTGGCATTTGGTACGTCTCTGCATACAAACTTAGGATAGGCGACGTTCGGAAGCACCCCGTGGCAATTCGAAGACCAAGGTGATGGACAGGATCTAGCATTTTTAAAGATGACGGATGTGCCGAGCCATATACAACTGTACCATAGTCGAGACGGGTATGAACCAACGAGTTGTAGAGCTGCAGGAGGCACCGCCTGTCTGGACTTCAGGGCATGTGTGCAAGTGCTTTAGGAACATTAGCAGATTTAAGACACTTTCACTTCAGTTCCTTTAGATGGGTCTGAAAAGTGAGCTTCATATCAAAAATAACACCCAAGAACTTGTGTTCATGCCTAACGGTTATGTCAGTATCATTCATCTGCAAGCTGGGATCTAGTGACAACCCCCGACGTAATGAAAAAAAAAGGCACACAGACCGTCTTTTTGGTGCAAACCGGAAATCATTTTTATCGGCCCACTTACTCATCCTATCTATTGCTGCCTGCAACTGGCGCTCACAAATTGACAAGTTGCATGAAGAGAACGCCATCAGGACATCGTCGACATACAATGAATAAAAAACTGATGGTGGTATCACTGCAGCGAGGCTGTTGATCATAAATGCAAACAAAGTAACACTCAAGGCACCTTGTGGAATGCCGTTTTCCTGAGTAAAAAAATCTGAGAGAATGGAACCCAGGCGGACCTGAAAAAAACGGTCTGTCACAAAATCCCTTATACACCGTACCTATACAGGTCCTGAAGTATTCCGTACTGCCATGCCGTATCGTAAGCCTTCTGTAAATCAAAAAGAACAGAAAGGCAATGCTGCCAGTCCACAAAAGCCTCACGCACGAAGGTCTCCGACCGGACAAAGTGATCTAAGGTTGAGCGACTTCTTCTAAAACCACATTGGTTTTTATCGACAATTTTCTCTTGATCTACAATGTATACTAGTGTTTTAAAGTCTGAAAATATATCTCCAACCAAAAAATGAAAAGCAACCCGACGTTTCAAAACCAACACGGTTTCTTCTTCAGGGGTGACTGAAGGCGCGCGGACACAGCAGCAGCTCCCAACCTCTTCGTCTTCAAAAAAGGAAAGAAAAGAAAGAAAGAGAAAAGAAAAAATTAAAAAAGAGAAGTTAGGAAATCGGAAAAATTGTAAAATAACTTGTTAGTTATGAAGATGGTCATCTCTTCAGCTTTTCCGCCAGGTCACGGAGGCCATGTGCGTACACAGAGGGCAGAGCGCCCAGCGACCTGTTTAGGTTTCCTGGGGTGTGCTGGATGTGCCACGATTCCAAGAAAAGTCTTCTTCGAAAATTGGGCTCTGTTTCCACCACGTGCGCGTTCGCGAAGTCAATGCGATGGTCTAGGGTATCGCAATGTTCGGCGATGGCGCTGCGCTCACTGTCAAACTTCCGCACGTCGTTCTTGTGTTGACGCCAACACAAGAACGACGTGCGGAAGTTTGACAGTGAGCGCAGCGCCATCGCCGAACATTGCGATACCCTAGACCATCGCATTGACTTCGCGAACGCGCACGTGGTGGAAACAGAGCCCAATTTTCGAAGAAGACTTTTTTTGGAATCGTGGCACATCCAGCACACCCCAGGAAACCTAAACAGGTCGCTGGGCGCTCTGCCCTCTGTGTACGCACATGGCCTCCGTGACCTGGCGGAAAAGCTGAAGAGATGACCATCTTCATAACTAACAAGTTATTTTACAATTTTTCCGATTTCCTAACTTCTCTTTTTTAATTTTTTCTTTTCTCTTTCTTTCTTTTCTTTCCTTTTTTGAAGACGAAGAGGTTGGGAGCTGCTGCTGTGTCCGCGCGCCTTCAGTCACCCCTGAAGAAGAAACCGTGTTGGTTTTGAAACGTCGGGTTGCTTTTCATTTTTTGGTTGGAGATATATTTTCAGACTTTAACTCTCACCCAACCAGGCAGATATCTGTCGAATATGTTTACTTTCCATACTAGTGTTTTGCTTATCAGCCTTTCAAAGTTTTTCCTAGACAACTAGTCAGTGCTATAGATCGATAACTTGCTGGTAGGGAGGGGTCTTTGCCAGGCTTCAAGATGGGAATGATGTCTGCTTGCTTCCAGCACTGTGGAAAACAAGAAGCTTCCCATAAATGATTAAAGAAAGACAACAAATGCACCAAGGATTCAGCCGACAAGTGCCTCAGCAGTTCATAATGAATCATACCTGAACAAGGTGCTGACTGCTTCTTTACTGCAAGGGCCTTTTCAAGCTCACACATTGTGAACGGCCAATTGTAACCAGTATCACTTCCAGAGCTCTGCTGTTTTTCTGCCAAGGACCTATTTCTTTTTAATTTATTAGTGTAATTTAAGGAACTAAAGACCTCTCAAAAATGATCAGCAAGAATGTCAGCCTGGTCTTTTAGTGATGGTGATGATGAAGGGAAAAGGGGAATGCTGAAGGAGTGGTAAGTACCTTAAATTTTCCTAACACGATCCTATACCTTTTTTGCAGAAACAAAACTGTTTAGAGACGACAGATATTTCACCCATGAGGTCCTCTTGGCTTGTTATCGTGTCCAACAAGCTTTTGCTTTACACTGTTTGAATCTGATCTTGTTCTGAACAGTCGGGCCTTATTCTGAGCTTTCATGGTGGTTGTACAGTCGTTGCTCCACCAAGGCTTGCATTTCTTGGGAATATTTCCAGAAGTTCAGGGAACTGACACAGAAGCAGCATTTATAATTTTTCAGTAAAGAGTCACTTCATCAGGAGACACGTACAGCTAAAAAAACAGTGGGATGGACCACTCCCTCCGGAGAAAATAAAGCCCAGTCGGCTTTATCTTACTTCCACCTGGGAACACAAGCTTGAGGAGAAGGAAGTGATACTGCACTTTCTAAAATGACAGGGAAATGGTCACTATCAAAAGGATTTTCTAAAACATTCCAAGAAAAACAAGGAAGTAAAGTAGGTGATGATATGGAAAGATCAATGGAAGTAAAAGTATTATGAGATGCACTAAAAAAAGTTGGTTGTCTTTTGTTTATAGGCAAAGGCCAAATGACAGTAAAAAATGTTCTATGACACCGACATGGAAGTCTTGACGACCACTGCCCCACATGGGGTGGTGTGCATTAATAAAACACCCACCGTAAAATACGGGGCAAGTACCCACTCAGAATTTAGAGATAATCATGAAAAAAGGGGGATGGACATTTGTACGGTCACCAATTTTACATATTAATGTACTGTGCATATTTTCTCAGATCTTACAAATTTGGGAATGGGTGCTTAGTAGGGATGCCGCAAACTTTTTTCGAATCGATGATCGAATCAAGCGGTTCGAAAGGTTCGAAAGATTACGATTTTTCTAACTGTCTACATCGTAAAATTCGACGGAAGTCGAATTTTCGAACTTGTTAAGCTAAGAAGTTCGACGCTTTTCGAACCGTCAAACTTATTACGCTAAAAAATGCTATCTTTTTCTAACTTTCGAACTTATTGCGCTGCAAAGTTCGATGCTTGTCGAACTTCCGAACTTGACTGACCAAAAAATTCGATGAATTTCGAACTTTCGAACTTATTTATCAAGAGAATTCGAAAAGTTTCGAACTTTCGAATCCTGAAAAGTCAAAAGTTCGACGAACTTTGAAAGACCGGTGGACGGTTTCATTTGAATTCAAGTAGTGAGGTACATTCGTAATATTTTTTTTTCTTGAACTTTTACACGCGGTGCTGCGTTCCTTACGAAAGACAATGCCGTTTGTTTCAATGTTCTGGCATGCTTAGTTTTAAAGAAATAAATTCTCGAAGGGGCGAGGAAGGACGACAAGTTTTTGACGATTATCGTTTGTGCCAGATTTGAAGCGCGCTGTAGCCGAAGCTATTTATGGTAGAGATGTTATACTTTTTTTAAGAATGATATATGTATAGCCTAGGTAAGGGCCGTCTTAAGATGTGATTATTGTTATTCAACATGAGTTTCGAAGAAATGTCCAAACATGTATCTACATGCAATTATGCCCTAAACTTGATATTTATTTTCGTCTAAGTTGTTTGAGGTATCGCATTTAAATTTACACCACAGACAAAACATATCATTGCCATCTGCAGAATACAAAATAATGTATTTATTGCTTTTTCACGTTAAGGAATAAATTAACTCATGGGAGAAGATTTCTAATAGTGTTCAAGCTCAGCACGTCATTAAAAGAAAACATTTTTTTTTTCGCTTCACGTTCCTGGGACGTGTTTCTTTTAGCCTGTACACATTTTGGTAAAAGAAACTTGTTTCGAAGTTCTGAACCTCTGAATATGCAAGAATACAACACTTCCGGCGAATTCTTGAATGTTTTTTTTTCTCCAGCTTTTTATCCCTGCATTTATTCTTTTTTTTTTTTATTATTGGCACAGGTGTTTAGGTCAAAAAGACATAGCTTTGAACTTCCGAACCACTAAGCATGTGACGAGTAGTGGCTTCTGACAATGAGTTTCTAACAATGACCATCTACGCAATCTTTTATGCAATCAAGAGCGACAGTAGCTATACATATGCATAAATAATTTCAGATTAAAATAAGCTCGACCGCGCCCTCTTACTTCGTATTGTTTTCTTTAACAGTCCGAAATATCTGGAAGGAGGGAAGGGAACTGAAGCCCCCCCCCCCCCCCCCGCTACCCTCTTTCCCCCTGTGTTTCCCCTTCCAACGCCACTTGTATGGTAGAACGCTCCTCGACCTCGAGTTGTGTCGGCTTTTTGCGAGGCGATTCCTCCGTCCCAGAAAATAAACCTCAAGGACGATTACAAACCTAACTTACTATATGCCAGCGTCACTCGGGCGGCGTTCGATCGAATTACTACAGTATAGACCACTTACAACGTAACCGCTTATAGTGCAGGACCGGGTATAACGCGTTTTTTTTAAACCACCGGTTCACCTCCCATAAAAATCCATGTAATTTCATACCGCTTAAAATGCAGGCGCGCGAAGGGAAATACCGGTTATAGTGCGGTTTCTGGCACAGCCCACCGACCGCGCCGACGACCGGAGCAGCGAGCACTCTTCCCAGTGCGACACAAGATAACGGCGCTGACGGCGCGAGCGCAAACGGCACTCGAGGGGCAAGGAGGTTGCTCGAAGAAGCGAAGAGAGAGGCTTCAGTTGCCATAGCGACGGAGGGACGGACGCACGTGTCGTTCACGTGCGTGCGTCCCTCCGCTGCGTTGAAAAACAACCGCAACGACAGACCAATCGCAGGTCGAGGAGAAGTGTTCGCGCGCGTTGCATGCCGGTCGCGGGCCGGCTGCTTCTATCCGCAAACATGGCGTCGGTTGTGATCGTCGTCGTAGACGGCGTTCATCTCATCGTTCCGCGTAAAAGCGCTATCCTTGACTGTGAATTTTCGTTGTGTGTCGCTATGATAACCCAGCACGTACTAGAAGGGAAGATCCACCTACTCGTGCGGCGATGTCGTGGCGGCGCTCTCAAGACGGCAGAAACGCCCGTGTCGTCGTATTTGTTTACTTCGACTACAGTGGTGATTTCTAAGCATTTGTGTTCTCGAACATCGCCCGGATTTCTTATTTGGCGCATTTCATGCGTGTGCTCAAGTTCAAGGTATTACTGGCGCGTACCGTACGAAGGATGCGAATTTTCACGCGTTTTCATCTCCGGAGAAAAGTGATTAGGGTTAGCAATTCTGAACGCTCGCAACGTCCGCCCGCAACCCGCGACGCCCTTAAAAGGCTGCGCCAGGCAAAAGCCGCTCATTTCTCTCAAAATGTGTGACACACTTGAGACAGAACTGTACTAGTCAGGTGAAATAACGACTTTCCTCAAACTAAGCTTTATTTTTCACCTAACATAAAATAAATTCTTTTACAAAGGTAAGTTGTTTCTTGGCATGTATTTTGGCCTGAAAAATTGATGTTTTGGTTATAACGCGGTACCGCTTATAGTGCGGATTTTCGCGACTCCCGGGGCATACGTTATATGCGGTCTACACTGTACCAGCGTGCAAGGGGTGGCGAGGTAGTTTGCCAGGTCGCTTCAAGGTTTTTCTGAGCCTCGACCTCCTGCTCGCCCCTGTTCGTTTTGAACTGGATGAGTCTCCTAAAACAGAGTGTTCATATGATCACTACTCATGATGCAGGTTAAAGACCCCCCCTGGGCTGGCGGTCACAATTACTGATCTATGATCACACGTCACTCTGCACTGGCAAATATTCCAGCACATTCGGGACACTTGTCGCCTCATTTAATTGCGTGACCAACTTCGCAGAATCTAGATATCACACCCTAACTTTTCTAAACTTGATTTTGTGAAAACCAGTGAGTCGTGAAAATGTTATTTGAAACAAACTGTGGAGGAACTTGAAAACCGAACTTCGAACTTTGAAAACTTGGACTAACAAAAAAACTCAAAATCTTCAAATTTTTTTTTTTTTTTTTTATTTAGCGTCGAGATCTTCGAACTTTTCGAACTTTATGCAGAAAGAAATTCGAAATCTTCGAATTGTTCGAACTTCATGTCTATAAAAATTCGAAGCGTTCAAAGTTTTCGAATTTTATTTCCAAAGAATTCCGAAATCTTTGAATCTATCGAACCTGAAGTAAAAAAATATTCGAAATATTTGAATCCGAAATTTTAGAAACCGTGAAAGCTTCGAACTTTTCGAATTCGAAACTAAACTGTGATTGAAAGTTGCGAATTTTTCTAATTCGAACCTCGGTCGGTACGAAAATATCGAAATTTTTCGAAATCAAACCTCAGTTCGCTTCGCAAATATCGAAACCTTTCGAAATCGAACCTGGGGTGGTTCGCGACATCCCTAGTGCTTAGTGTGGAATATGAAAATGTGCCATATTCTGTGGTAATAGCACATACCTCCAAGTTGACCAACCATTTTTAAATGAGAGGCATTTCTTGGCAACCCCAACCCCCTTTAGATTTTGTCAAGCGAAGAACCAGTCTGTCGGATGGTTCGTATGGTTCTAGCTTGAATCACCTGTCCCATGTGCAAGAGTGGATACTCATACCTCGCTGACATCTTCCGAGTCCCCTCGGTAGTTGAAATCCTTGTCCTCTCGAGTTCACAGATCATCACGGAACGCACCACAGACTACAAAGGCCGAAATTAATAACTCATAACGGTCGTCGTGCAGCTGTGCAGTCCTCCACCACTCCGAAATGCGAGACTGTAAAACGCAAAAGCCATTGCGTAACAACGCCCGTAACCACGCCGGCCTTTTGCCGTGCTGAGGGGCCCAACGTCACGATTGCGACGGAGTTCGCACAATGCATCGCAGACGTCGTAACCGATTTCGAAGCAGTCGCTAGAATCGGACACTTGAAATGAAAAATAGTCATCCGCTCAAAATACGAACGTGTGATTGTCATTTACAGATATCACAGGTCATTTTTCACCCATTCCAGAAAGGTTTCCGTATATTTTCATTTTCGTTTCTGTATCCCTTTAATGCACTATAGGACTCTAAAGATAAAGGTTGCCAAAATTATTTTTTTTCTTTTTAGAGTAAGACAATAAATAAATAAGATGTTTTTTTTAGATATTAACACAACACTGGTAGCTTGGCAAGTGGACATGGACGCTTCTACCATTTAACGCCATCACCTCTGTCTTTCTTTGCGTGATGGATCGAACAAGCTCTTGCGCCCATCATTGCACCATTATGGGAGCACTTTTGCGTTTTGATTCCTCCGATCTCGACTTCTGAGTAAATGCAGCACCGCCATATGGTCAAGACGCACCTCTCGGTCGGCCGTGCTCACGCCCCCCGGGTCGTCGAGGCTGAAGATGGGTATCGGGTGGAGGAGGGTGCAGGCCTGGAGCGTTACGTCGAACGGCGATTCGCTGGAGACCTCCACCCGAAGCGTGAGCTCCACGCTGCGGCCCTGCTGCGCCTGGAAGCAGATGCTCGGCACCGAGTCCTCGATCCCCAGGCAGGAGATGGTGACATTGCGCTTGTTGCGTACCAGCTTCTCCCTGGAGTTTGACAACGGTTGGTGGGAATCAGTTTGGGCCTAAGGCGCAGTCGCCGAAGGGATAAGAACGGCAGGGTGGTCTCCCAGATGCCGACGCCTACGGCGCAAGCTCTCTATTTTTGATGACACTTCATCATCTCGTAGGCTTAAAGTGCATACGCGCAGCCAAAGTGCAATGAAAAAGATGTCCTGCACTCCTCGTCCCATCGGCGACTACAGGAAAACTTCCAACTTGTGCTTACTTTCTATTTGAATCTACTGCTGCTACACTTTTTGTGAGGATCCATGGTTGAGAAAACGGTGTAGAGAGAAAAAGGGTGAAAGAAGTGAATGAGAAAGAGATGCGCGTTTTTTTACAGCGGAGCTATTAAGGGCTAGGTTCCCCAGGATCGTGTCCGGTATGTCGACACAAACCTACCTGGACAGCTACCGCCATCTATTAGCGGCGGCGGCAAGCACACAACCAGTATGGCTTCCGCCGTCGCTCGTAGATGGCGCCAACCTTTCCAGGCTCCAGCTATAATAGAAGAATGGATACTTGGGCGCGTTGGTGGGAATATATCGTAGGAAACAGTGCGAAAAACAAACAACAACGAAGAAGAAGCACACAGTGTATCGAGTATAGCTCCGCTGGTTTTCCTTCTTCACGAGAGTGGAAAGGCTAAACGTTTTTCACATTTATTCTCGTCGAAGCATTCCGTCAACACAGGGCCAGTGCACTGGCACAAACCAAGAGTGAGGCAGCTTATTATTCCTCCTTTCTGCCAATAAAAAAAAACAAGCAATTCGTTCAATTATTACTTGAGTGAAACTAAAGTCAGCCACCAAAATATGTTCTAAACAACATTGTTTCTATACAGCTCCAAATTCAACCAAAGTGGACGCTCCAAGATATTTCTTTTTGTTCCCAAGGTTCCCAAAAGTACTTGCTCCGTGCCTGTGGCACATCACAACACTATTCTGGCTTCAGTTGCTACCCCTTTGATTGCCACCCTTCGAAGCTGCTGCCACACGCATTGTACTCTTGCTGACTGGCTTTTGCCGACTGTATTCGCTTTCAATCTATGGGCTATAAACAGTCAGCGTTGCTGTTGCATGTTGCTGTATTTCATTTTAGAGATAAAATACAATTGTAAAAGTGGCACCTTGGATAGCACTTTGTTTGCACATGCAGCCATGTAACAAGACACTCTGCACACTGTCAAAGAATGGGCAGAGGCAATATAGGGTGTCATATGTGTCTGCAAAAGCTGTGCCATGCTCTGTCACATGACACCTAGTATCGCCTTCACTGCATAAAAAAATGTGATCCCACAAACAGAACGCTGTACACCGCAACAGCCAGGCAGCATGAATGTCAGACACGCCACAGGTGGCAAACTGGAACAGCGCAAAAGACGATATAAGAATCTGACAAGCAATGCAAGGACATAGACCTTTCTTGTAGACAGACAATCCCCTAAAGGCCAACATACAACCTCAGTTTTCTGCAGGGAACATAATCCTCTTAGTGCTCCCCTCTCCTAAGCAGTCAGGGGAGCCAAGTTGGGGAATGTAAAAAGTGGAGAGGATATAGCAAAGGAGGAGGCTGGCAAGAGTGGCAAACGTGAAGTGTATGTCGGCCTTTAAGCAGTTGTTACCAATGGTGCACACTAGCATGTTTTCATGTAGGGATCAGTGGCCAAGCATGTTGATGCGCTTCGGCTTGGAGCGAGTAGAGCAAAAGCTCATGCTGCAGAGCCCAAGATAGCTAGGTTGGAGATTTAAGAAAAAGTACATGGAAGTGACGTAAAGGAAGGGAGCAATGTATCCTAGCAACACACGCGCCGTGGCTCTGCCCTCTTTGACGCCTCTAAGTCATCGAAAACTTGACGCCTGTCACCCATTTGAGCGACGTCCAGAGCCAATCCCCGGCGAGCCAAAGGAGCTACGCAGTCTCCGAAGCATACCCCTACGCGCTGAATACAGGGTAGGGTTCACTAGAATACGGAAAGCAGTTTCTGCATTTTAGTAAAGCGATGGCAACCAATCCTATGTGTCGCTGGACATTTTATCTGGTCTAGTACAGGTAAAAGTGTTGAGAAATAATAAAATCCTAATAGATCGTTAAAAGAAACCGCTTTTTTGTGTCCTTTGCAAGAGTCCATTTATTAGTTAATTGGAAAGAAAGTTTTTTCAATATTACAAGCAATGTGGGATGCGCACTATGCACCTTCTTTAAAGCAACACGTCGGGGCAAGCAAGAATTGCACGGTTGACGGCTGCTCATAAAGAGCTCCCGTTACCGGAGTTTTACAGTCCCAGCGCGTAATGAAGGCATGGAAGCAAGCAGACGACCTGGACAAAGACGCCTGCTTGCTCTGTTGAACCCAAGAAACATCCGGTTGACATGACTTAACCTGAGACCGGGAATAAACAAGACACTTAAAAGGAAGGGTCAACACACAGCGTCTCCAAAGACAGCTGCATGTTTGGAGACGAGCCTTTCCTTTCCTTCCTTGTCTCGGGTCAAGGTATGTCCACTTTTCACGAGGTTGCCTGCACGCTCACCTTTCTTTCAGACCTACAGTGTAGTAATAACTTGCAACAGCAACTACTTTTCTCTTGTCTGGAATACCTCGGTACAAAACTTTGTCACCAGATATTTTTTTTTCTTTATATATACGGTGATGTTTTGTTAATATGGACACCCCCGTTCCCCCCCAAAAAATCGTCCATAATGCGAGTTGCCCATGACGAGACAAAAATGCACGCATTTTCCCAGTTTGTCTCTGAAAATGGTGCGCATATAGCGGGGCATCCATAGTAATATTAACGAGACATGACTATCATTATTTAGCTGCATTTAATCTGGTCCCAAATTTGGCAGGCCTTCGTGTATATTAATTGACAAGTATGAAATACAATCTAGAGCTAGTGTGCTGCAAAATGTGTTCAAATAAGAGATTAATGTTTGACATATTACATGTGATTTAAGAATGTTTAAGCGTTTACATTGTGCTACGATAGTCAGTGTTCATTTTTACTTGCGAGAATGAAATACTGCCACACGTTTTTATATCATTTTATTTTTTCAGGTTACGGTTTTGCATTTAAAAAATAAAGCACTTTCAAAAATACACTATCCGTGCAACATAACATAACCACTAATGCTGTACGTAAATAAAGGAAACATACAGCAGAAGGTCTCAAACACAGCTGAAATTTTTATTTTCCAAAAAGTGCTTAAATAAGCACCGTAACAAATACTAAAAGAAATAGAGGAACCAAGGCAAGCTCTGCTGTCTTGAGAGATACTAACTGACACAAATCCCAATACTAACATTAAGAAGCACACCTGAATGATGTAGTCATAACACAGAAGAAAAAATGGAACAGAAGGTAATGATGGAATGCTTAAAACCACAGGGGAAATGAAACAATACCCAAAATGGCAATATCCCTGGTTTAATCAACACTAAGAAATCGGTCTTTACAGGTCTACAAATGGTCTAAAGTATTTCTCGACTCCTTGCGGGGGCAAGCCAGATGACTTTTGTCGGTTTGGCAACTAAACCCCCAAGCCTTCTCCGTCATTGTTTCACGCATTTCATACCTTCTGCTCATAAAATGGAAAGGCTATCAATATCACCGCCATGCACTCAACACATTTCCAGGGGCGGCACCGTCCGTCTCTAAACATAGCACATGAACTACCTGTGAACAGGTCCATCATGTTCCTCGACCTCACTGGAATTTAAAGACAGACATATATGTTGGAAGTATGAACCAAGGTCGTGCAAAGGATTTCTTGTTTGCGTCTGGACATTCCAAAACTATAAAACGAAGTGTTTCCTACGTTGCTCTTGTGTGGACCTTAAAGAAATTTTGTCAAATAATAGTCAAAGTTTTGAAAAGCAATTTTCCTGCCCACATGATTCCGGGTATCCGACTGGTCTCCTGGTATGCACATCTAAAAACATCTGCAAAAAGCTGTAACGCAAATCAGCTGACACAGATGGACGAGAAATTAGAAGAAACTAGCAAAAACCTGCAGTAATACCCTACATTCATGACATAACCCATAAATTAAAAGCCAGTAACCGTGAGGCAGGACAACAAAGTTGTATGCTCTGCTCCAAACAAGGTGTATTGAATGTGCTGCAAAGTAAACTGCAACATCAGCCAGGAGAAATGCGCAACATTTCTTACAAGACACAATATGCCCTGTGTGACACAGGGGTTGCTTATCACATTCCCCTATGACGTGGCAAATGTCACATTGGTCAAACTGGCAGGCGCGTAAATGATAGGACAAGAGAGTATGCAGCATCTGTTAAGGGAACCCTAGCAGGTGATTGCCGCACCTGTAAATGCAGTGTAGTTTTCAGCAGCTTCACTATTCTTGTAAGAAACAAAAGCCCGTATGCATGAGAAATGCTTGAAACTATGGCCATCGAAAGAAACAAAGCAGCATGCGTCAGCGTGCCTTCCATCAAACTTGACAAGAAAAGCAAGTGTTTGGGGTGTTTTAGATCCTGCTGAAATGCAGGTTATTTCAAACAAAATTGTAACAATAGCTCTCAGAATAAAGAAGAAAAAGAAGCAGACAGCTAGGGTACATGAAAAGAAAAAGTATTAAACCACAGTTGGTTTGTAATGGAGGTCACGTGGATCCCGGGGACAGGGGTGATGAACAAGACTCCAAGTCACAGCCGTAGTCGCCTGCACATTTAGAGGACAAAACCTATTATAATCTGTTCTCTTTAAAATAGATGACAAAAAAGCAGAGAAAAGAGCTATGCCACTCTGTGCTTTCCTGGTACTATGCTCCTTCGGAGAGTATTCACAAAGACGTGCCAGAGGTATAGACACAGGGTCTGCACAGTTGTTAATGCTTAAATGTAAACATTTTCGACGGACATCCGTCTGGTTAGGAATGATTAATAAATCTTCAACTTAGAAACTCTAACCAAGCTTTATTAAAAAGCAAAAATCCCGACGTTTCGGAACCAACTCGGT